GATTGCAAAATACCCAGGATTTTAGAGTAAATATTACCCTTTAGTGACTAAAGGGTAATATTTACTCTCAACATGCTGGATAAAATACCCTCAACATGTTGGATGAAAGTTCATGCGGCCCTCTGGCTGTAAAGTTTGGAGACCCCTGCTTTAGTCAATTACCCATCTGAAGGTAGTAAATACTTCCCTAAAAAAAGATAACTTTTACCCCCTAAAATTTACAGTGTAATGTCAATGTGCATTCAACAGAATATCGAATTTTAGCATATGAATCACATGCACTGGTGAAGCTATGAAATATTTGCCACGTGCAAAGCGCCTTCGTTCACGAATTAAACATAGTAAATTAGTCATCGAAACAGAATCATCAGCAATGAGCATTAGAACACATAGTCATAGAGCACATACGGACAATATAATTACGTTAGAACACCACACAATTTCTTTTAGCTTGTGCGCCCTGATTCAAAGGGTTAGGTACTTAGTTATTTGACTGAAGAGTGCAAATTTTTGCAATCTCGGACATTTTGTTAAGTTTCATGTTCATAATAAATATTGAGCTACGCTCGTTCATCTATTTCATTGTTTAGGCCTTACATTTTCCGTATATTTTTGTGAGGGCTACTAACATGTACGCTCTGCGTACTTACTTTTTATTCATGACATGATGCACAGAATCATTGCTACCGCAACGACCGAGCTTAAGCAAGGGGGTAAGGTAGTTGTCTAAGACTAGGTTTACACCTTTCCGTATCTTAAACTGCGCAAAAAAGTAACAGAATCGTGGGTTTCGTTTATACTGCACCGGAGCGGAATTGTTCGAAAACATCACTTTTGTTGAAGCGACACGACCACACTTTCTAAACGTTGTCGCCAGGTCGGACAAAAACGGAGCGCTACGCATTGTCATGTAAACAGCTAACCATTAATATTTCGCTACACTTTGGATACCAGTTCTCTTTAATTTCTTCCCGTGTTGTGGCGCTTATTTGAAAATGGTGATCATTTTATATTTTGGAAAGCTTTTAACAACTGATTCCGTTGTAATTCTTACAAATCAATGTTTTTCCTGACCTATGGCTAGAGATATAAACATCTAGCAATGTGCAAATAAGAAATGGCACCATCTTTCACAAACAACTAACGAATTTGACAGCAGGAGACATGTGTAAACACTCACCAAACTGTAGTGGAATATAAGCAGATCAGTGTAAACGCTGTCATATTCTGCCGTCACAAATTTAAATGCTAGAGTAGTATATTCAATATGAAAACACAGAGTACAAACGGCATAAAAACATTTTGTATATATAAGGGCTTCATGCCTTTTGTATAGTCTGCGTTTTTATATCGAATACTAGTTTTATATTCAAATGACGAATTAAACTTATTCCATCATTCCAGCGTATAATTAGTATATTTTGGCTTAAATCCCAGTTCCACTCCATTGGTTGCCTTGGTTTTAATATCATAATTTCATCTTGGAAAGCGACCAGCATGTTTATATGAAAAAATTTATCCCGCCTACCTATAATCTGAGATCACGTCTACTTGTAGGAGTAATCTGAGATCACGTCTACTTGTAGGAGTAATCTGAGATCACGTAATCTGAGATCACGTCTACTTGTAGGAGTAGGAGACGAGATCATTCTTCACATTCTATATAAACTCGAGCTTACAAAAGCATAAAAATATTTGTCAAAAGTGCCAGCATTAACGAAAAGGTAGTTTCCCATGGAAACTTTGCACTAAAAACTGTCATATTTATGATATGAAAAACATGGCAACCAACGAAGTAGAACCGGGATTTAAGCCAAAATAAACCAAATTATACACAGGAAATTTGAATACAAGAGTAGTATTCAAAATAAAAACAAAGACTATAAACGGCATAAAAATCCCATATAATACTGAAGCAGTTTATATAATCTGTGTTTTTATATTGAATACTAGCTCTATATTCAAATAATGAATTAAACTTATGCCATCATTCCAGCGTATAATTAGTATGTTTTGGCTTAAATCCCGGTTCCACTCTGTTGGTTGCCTTGTTTTTAATATCATAATTTCATCTTGGAAAGCGCGCCAGCAAGATTATATGAAAAAATTTCATCCCGCCTGCCTATAATCATCTCTTGCTGAGATCACGTCTACTTGTAGGAGTAGGAGACGAGATCATTCTTCACATTCTATATAAACTCGAGCTTACAAAAGCATAAAATATTTGTCAACAGTGCCAGCATTAACGAAAAGGTAGTTTCCATGGACACTTTGCACTAAAACTGTCATATTTATGATATGAAAAACATGGCAACCAACGGAGTAGAACCGGGATTTAAGCCAAAATATACCAATTATACACTGGAAAGTTGAATACAATAGCAGTATATTCAATATGAAAACACGGAGTACAAACGGCATAAAAACGTATTGTATATATATGGGCTTATGCCGTTTGTATAGTCTGTGTTTCTATATCGAATACTAGTTTTATATTCAAATGATTGCAACACGATCTACTTGTCGGATGCGAGATCATAGATAGGAGGGATAAAAATTTTCCATATGAACTTGCTGGCCCGCTTTCCGAGATGAAATTATGATATTAAACACATGGCAACCAACGGAGAAGAACCGGATTTAAGCCAAAATAAACCAAATTATACACAGGAAATTTGAATACAAGAGTAGTATTCAATATAAAAACAAAGATCATAAACGGCATAAAATCCATGTAATACTGAAGCAGTTTATATAATCTGTGTTTTTATAATGAATACTAGTTTTATATTCAAATAATGAATTAAACTTATGCCATCATTCCAGCGTATAATTAGTATATTTTGGCTTAAATCCGGTTCCAATATCATAATTTCATCTTTGAAAGCCGGCCAGCAAGATTTTATGAAAAAATTTCATCCCGTCTACCTATAATCATCTCTTGCTGAGATCAAGTCTACTTGTAGGAGTAGGAGACGAGATCATATGTAGATCATAGTATAACTAGGGATCCAAGGATATAGTGAAGTTTCCTGGATAAAATGTTCCTAAACATTAAAATAAAATTAGTTTCAAGAATGCTTAGTATCGAACCTTGGCGTTTCAAAAAATGCTAAACTGAAATTCATTTCGAGAAGTGCTTATCAAAGGCTAAGCAGTTTGTTTTTTGACGAATAGCTACAACTTGCTCCGAGATTGCGTAAATAAACGTTAATTCGTATGCACACTTACGTAGCGGATACAATCATACATTCGGAGTAGAACCTGGATTTAAGCCAAAATAAACCAATTATACACAGAAGATTTGAATAGAAGAGTAGTATTCAATATAAAAACAAAGACTATAAACGGCATAAAAATCCCATATAATACTGAAAATTCCGGGCTATGATGTGCCATGTTGATTTTTGATTAGTGACAATTGGGAAAATGTTGTTTTGCTACATTGTCGTAGTAGGTGGGATTAAATTTCTCGTATGATCATATTTGGCTCGCTCAGTGGGATGTCTCGATAATCGGGCTCATACGAACAGGCCCTAATATAAGAATCAAATGTATTAATTTAGTATACACTCGCTCTTACAGAAACCACGGGGTGCATCAAAAAAATTCTAATTTAAAATTTGGGGTTCAATAACGCTGCATTTATTTGAAAAAGTCTTTGGTTTTTACACCTTGGTTAAGTCCATTTATTTACCTTTTAAATGACATGTTGTGCGAGTCACTGCAAACTAAATGCAAATTTAAACTTCTTATTGTATGCTTAACAAACGCGACGGTTCCAATTAAACATGGCAGAAAGCACGCACATTTGTTGAGAAAATGTTTTTGAAACCAGTAGCTTACAAGAAACACGGAGTCAGTTCAAACAAAGATATCCGGAAGGACAAACTTTTGCCCTCAGTATCATCTGGTAGATTATTACAACTTACAACAAGACGTGTTTAGTTTTGATAGAATCGACATTTAAGGGAGACAGAAGCCCAATATAGGTTGTTCTTTATCACCATGTAAAAATTATATGCTTCACTCAAGTATGCTGTAGACAATATAGTCAAACAAAGTTGGATTCAAGTTTTTTTTGATACGCACTGTATATTAAATATTAAACTGACCATGCGAGTTGTAATTTGCGAAAGACCTAAATCATGTTATTCTTACACTAAAGCAATCATAATATAGTAAGTAAAATACTTCCACTCCTCCTCTTTGCAAACGAGATAAGTCTGCTCGAAAGCAGAGAGCCTTAGGCTACAAGTCCCGGGCTTGTGACCGATGTAGCCTCGTTAAAAGGTGAAATGACACTTTCTTCGAACTTCTATTGCTTCTAATCTTCTGGCTTCCCTCGACTTTTTGAAACCACTATCACCAGTCGAGACTAAGCGATCTTATGTGATTGGATGGTGTGCTTAATGATCAATTTATTTAAGAATATATATGCTACATTTTTTTGTGTAAACGTGTCGTTGTCAATACACAATTAATATTGGGCGCCCTTTTTCCATGTGCCAAACCTTAAAGGTACTCAAAGACCTTTTATCTCCGCAGCGCAATCTTGCATGAGATGAAACTTCTAAGTTAACGTGGTCCAAGCAATAATTTACGGATTGCATAGCAATTAAACAAGACCTTACTAGCCAACACACCGATCAAAATGTCCAATTGGATGTAGGGTAGTTTAAGTTTGTTTATTTCGCCTAAATTTTATTCACTCACTCTGTTAGCGAATGAGAAACTTTCTCACATAATTTTGTGAGTTATCTGATAAGTGTAGTCGTGTTAACAAACAATAAACGAACACACACACACATACACAAAAATCTATCGAAAATGACAAAACAAACTTAATTTTGAATCTGATTTGTTGATAGACAGTTAAAAGAGTTAATTATACACCTGTAGGTCGCTAGTCGGTGAACCTCATCGAGACTTTATACAGATACTTCAAAATCATGCAGCAAGTCAAGATGAAAAGCACTGAGCTGAAACGGTAACACGTACATAAAGTACATGTAAAGACTAGAAATAGGTCGTTGTAAATCACTGTTGGTAGATAACAGAGATCTAAGGAACTGCATTAGAGATCATATTAAAAACACGAAGTTGAACTATCAAAAAGATGTATACATTGGGATTTTTGTTCGCACTCTATTTCTGCAACGTCATTTCATACAAAGTGAACTTGGACTCTGAAGGTATAGAATTTTATACTTATTAAGCGAAATTGAATGCTGCATAAGAGGCATAGCACAATTTTAGCAAAAGATTTCGCCTTCATCTGCGTCACAGTGCTGTTTATATTATCATTTACCAATGCATGCAGTGTGTCAAATACGTGAAGAATAAAGTATATTTTTTACTGCGGCTGACATTTGTTTTTGAGTTCAATCTAATATAAAGTTGACCGTTAATTTTCATGTGTTATGCACACAACTTTCAGTACGTACAAAAATTCGTTAAATAATATAAGACAGGTAACAGCTAAAAACTATACGGGTTTTTTCTATAGTATCTAGACATGTTTCAGGGTCGCTGCAAATGAGTTGCAGTTGAGGTAGAGGGCTGGATTTCTAATTTTGCCACAAATATAAGAAATTCGGCCTTGCTTCATTATTTATAAGTCACCAGGTTATTTAACTTGTTGTATCTATGTATTTAGAGTATAAAGAATGGCGTCGTGGAGTTCCTTCACCGGCACTAACAAAAGCAACTAGTACTGGTAAGGAAAAGCTATATGAAATGTGTTTGTGTTGCAATCTTTTTATCGATTTATTGTAGATGGCAAAGAAAAAAAATCAAAAGTGATCATTCTACTCTCTGTGTATACAACAGATAAAATTAATTACTGTTTGTTTAAAACTACTTTACTAATTCCTTCATGGTTAAAACATGGTTTTCTTTCTTCAATTTAGGCAAATGTATAAAAGACTTGGTTATTCTCGTCGATGCATCACGGTCCATAGGTGGACCAACTTTTAATTTAAAAGTCAAAGCATTTTTGAGGAATTTGATTTCCAATCCTCAGCTTAATGTCGGTCCTGATGGAACCCGAATTGCTTTTGTTATATTCAGGGACAAAGATTACACAGAATATCTTCTAAAGTTCGATGCTAGAACACAAAAAGAATACAAAACTTTTATAAACAAAGAATTGATTTATAGTGATGCTTTTGGCGGTCAAACATATACGGGAAAGGCTCTAGGGATTGTGGACAAAGATGTAATCTTTTTTGTAGTCCTATTACCGTATAACTAGTAAGTTTTGTATGGTTAAATTGACAGAATCGAATAACATATATACTTTCTTTTAACAAGATCTTTAAAACGAACAGTCCTGACAACATCCGACCAAAGATTGATGACGTTGTCTTGTTGCTAACGGATGGTCAACCCAATGGAGGGCATGCAGTTACCAGTGATAAAGAAGAAAATTTGAATTCCGAAATGGTCGATGCCCGAAATCATTCAAAGTAAGGAATGATGTATTACGCTGACCGCTTGCTTTTGCTTTAAATTTTAAGAGAAAGCATTCTATGGCTAAATTATGAAAACGACCTACATTTTCATGGTGCGTTACAATAATATATAGCTCATAGTTTTATATAGATTTGTATTGTACGAAATGCTTATAATGCGCTAAAAGTGAAACGAGTCTTACTCTTTTGTTCGCTGTTCGCTGTAGTTTTAAAACCGTTCTTTTATGACTGTCAGAAATTGCTTTTTAGCACTTCTTTGGCCGCCATACATTCTCAATCTTACGTCATAGCGAGAACATGCCATACACTCCAAATATGGCAATAAAAATTCCCATAAGCCTTGTGATTTCCCGACTCGTTACATTGTCAGATTGAGAAAATTCTATTTAACGTATCTCTTTAAAAAAAGGGTTCAAAATTTAGCTTCGTAAGCATTTTGAATTTCCCGTCATCAGTCATTCACCAGTTTTTCTACGGTAAAATATTCACATTAGTATATTCCATAACTGTATGAAATAAAGCTATTTACATGCAATAATTTCAGGTCCTTAAAAGAAAAATGTTCTCATTGTTGGTGTTGCTTTTGGCCAGAAAAATTGTGAAATTCCTGCCAGAAATTGAAAGATTGTCAACTTCTAAAAAGACAACATTTGACAGCGACATTGATAGTCTGGACAAGATACGGGACCAAATTGTTAGCGCTTCCTGTAATAAACCAGGCAAGTCGTACTTAAAATTTTCCTCAAAAAAGTCGTTTATAACTGATGATCTCTTGCCGTTAGTAAACACATTAATCAGTTTTACAGTAAATTCATTGGCTGTCCATTGGGAAATATAGACATTTTCAATAATGTGAGAGAGGGGGAGGCGTGTAATTTTTACAGTGCAAACATAATAACTAAATACTGAATAATCATAGATAAACTGGACACACATTTCGGTCATTTATTCGTGACTTTTCTTCAGTATTCTAACAGATATAGGGAAATTTTATGAGAGCGCATTTAGAGTTCTTACGTCGAAGACATTCTTAAATTGCAGTCTAAAAACAATCTTGGCTATTAAACCTAATGTTTTGGTCACTCATGCTTGCAGTATATATAGCAGAGGGCGAGCTTCTTGATGCAGTCAGACGTTTTTTACGCGCACTCAAAGTAACTTGTGAAACTAGACTGGTATCTAGAACAATATTTCAGCTATTTAGGAAAGGTTTTAAGCAAAATAGAAATAATCTCTCAAGTTTATTTTTGTACTAGCATTTATGAACGTCATCCAGTTTTCTATAGTGTAAAAAACGGCTATTTATTATGCAAATTGTAGATCAGAACTTCAGAATTTTTAACCCCAACCCTGGTCCCCAACTTGAAACTCGTCTCCCTGTTTCCTCTTAAATTATCGTGTGCTCAGTTAAAGCCAAAATTTTATTCTTTTTCTTGATATGATGGCATCCAAGGGAGTGCAATATTTTTTCGTAAAATTTTGATTTTATTAAGCCCTTAATAACCAAGCGCAAGAACTTTAAGGAGAAATATGTTTTGTACGGGTTAACTTTCACTTTTCTTGTTTCCGTCCATAAAAAATAAATCGTTTCAAATTGCATCGTCTGGATAGTTGTTTTCTGACTGTTTTTCCTTCGTCTCTCATTCGTAAATGGCTTTTTGTTTCGTTTTTCCTTCGTTCTGTTGCTTGCATTACAAATTTTGTTTGTGTTTCACTTTAAAATTGTTCGTTTTAGACCGAGTTCCATTACGGAAAATAATGGACCGGCAAAAATGTTTCTGAACCAATCAAAACGCGCCATTTTGCTGGAAGTGACGCTTGCCATATAATAATATTAAATAAAATCATTCTTTTAATATGTCGTGTAAAGTTGATAACTATTTTACAATTAACTCCCATTACATAGATTATTCAACATTCAGTAACAAACGGGTGAATTAATACTTTAATTAATTTAAACAGCATTATCATTATTTGATAATAACAGCTTAACTGACAATTTTGCAATATCGAACATTTACCGTTTCCTAATATCAGATGTTAATTTAAATGAACATTTTCCTCAGTTTCAAGAGCTCTGTGTAGCTGCTCATCGATTCAATCGAGCACTATGTACATTGTACCACCGGTAACATCTGTTGACGTGAGCTGGCCAACACCAACATTTCAATGTGGAAACAACAAAATTCCCGAGCATACAACAACAATTAATCCGAATATCGTCGCCCCGCACAGTTTCTCTGTTGGTCATCATCCTATTGAATATACTTACACATTTAGTGGTGGATCTCTTAAATGTTACGTGAACATCACAGTTAAATGTAAGTATTGTCTTAAGCTCAAAGAATATTTTCTTTTTCAGTAGTTCATTGATTTTATTTCTACCTACACTGTTATACGTTATCTGAAAGCTTTTAGTTAGTATAAGGAATGTTCTAATTCTCTATTGTTCATTTATCACTATCTACTATATGCCACACGCTTTCTAAGTTTACGTTCTAGATATAGAGCAATAAGTAATGTTCTCATTCTCTGTTGGTTGTCCATTACTAACTACATTGATGTTGACACACGTTATCTTTTTCTTATGTATTTTATGCAGTTAGTGCAAAGACTGTTCTTGTCCTGTGTTGCTCATTTATCACATTGATACACGTTGTCTTATTTTTCATATATTTTTTGCAGTTAATGACGTTTTAATTCCCTGTTGCTTATTCATCACTACTTACATAGCCGCACGTTTTCGTAGTGTATTTAGTGTTGGTAGAAATTTTTCTTGCTCTCTCTCACAGCATGTAAATGCCCAAATACGGCACTAATAAACAAGGACCTTGAACCAGGAAAAACCACAGCAACAGTTGAATGGAAAAACCCGAGCCGAACTGTCCACATACACTGATAAGCGTATCACCATCAGAAGCAAAGTCAGGCAAAATGAATTTTGGGTTTGGGGAACATGACATCACCTATAATTACCGCATCAAAAATTCACCGACAGCTTGTTCCCTTCTCAAATGCAAATTGAAGATCAAGGTTGGCGGAAAAGTGTGCGGTGAAGTTGGTATGTCTTCTGCGCAAGTCTGTTGTTGTGGTAAGGCTTATGACAGTAAACAAAACCACGAGTGTTGTGGATACCGGTACTATAATAAAAGCAACAAAAAATGTGTGGGTTCCTATACCTTGATAGATTTATCACGACCCAAATTATCTTAAAAACAATGGTTGAAGCAAACTTAAACAGTAGTTTTAATTTAGTTTTTTTTAATTGCATGAGATATATATTATCAAACACATTGAGAAGATTTGTTGATTTCATACCAAGTAGAAGTATGTACTATGTAGTAATTTTGTGTACATTTTAGTTAGCAGATATCTTTATTATTGGTAATCATACTATCAAATGTAGGTAATTGAGCTATTTTTTTCAAGATAATAAAAAGACGGATTTCGAAGTTTTTGTTTACTCTTGAAATATCATTTTAACAACAGAGTCAGTGTGACCATATGTTCGTTAGCAAGTTTAAATAACCTTTGCTTAAATTTTACTAAATTTGCAAAAATTTTACTAGATTCTGACTTTTTGCACTTTACCCCACCTGATCCATGTACCATGCAATGACGTCATCTCTAAGGCCCCGTTTACAGGAGCCCGGGTTGATATTTAACTTGGGTCAGACTGCGATAGATTGTTATTTTTTCACGAATTCGAGCTAGAACTGATTTTTAAAACCGGATCAGAAATTCTCAGCTCGGGTTGGCTCAAAAAAAGCCATAGACAAGCCAACCACTCGGGTTTACATGAAGAAATGAGCTAAATTCAATGCTTTAAAGCCTTGCTAACCAGGGTCAACCTGGGTCTTGAGAAGGGTGCTCCGGGTTGGTAAATTGACCTGGCTATCATGTGAACGTTAATAATAATTTATTAGTAGATGGGTTGACCTGGGTTGGCACATCAACCCCCCTTACGAAAATTTCATATTAAAATTTCATATATGAAATGATATTTGAAACCTTATGTGAAGAGATTTCATATATGAAGTTGTTCAATTTCATATATGAACTCGTTTCACATGTGACATTGTTGATGAGTGAAATTCTCTCTATATACTAATAGTTCATGTGGAAATTAGCCCCCAAGATTTCTATTATTTGGTGTTTGGCGTGGCTTGCTGTCAACCCAGGCTCGTGTAAACGTGGCCTAAGCGAGTTATTAAAAAAAGATTTATTATCTGAGTGTTTTTCGAATGTGGTGTCTACTTCTTTCTTTTGCCTAAAATTCTTCATGAGATTAAAGCAGCCACAATCGCTACAATCGAAATACAGTAAAATTGGACTAACTAGTCTATTTCACTGATATACATGAAGCCAGGGGGGCGCCATTTTTGGACTATCTACTTACTTCAGTTCCATTATATACGTTATTTTATATAACAAACTTCTACTGTCGCATTTATTTTGAGTCAGTTTTACTCTTGGGACAAAAAAGAATTTCTATGATTACAAGACTGTAATAGAACGCTATTGGGCAAAAACTCATGTTTTCTAAATTTCATACGGAAATCTTCTCACGTTACAATGTCACAATAAAAGATTTGAGAATAATTTCAGAAAGAAAAATTTAACAAAGACACAAAATACGAGGCAAATTCATTCTAAAATATATACTACAAGTGGATAGTCCAATATGGCCGCCGCTGTCAAAAGTTGGCTTCAGCATTTTCTAGGCTCCAGAATTAGGTTGCTTTATCCAGTCTTTGTGATATGGCAAGCGTTACTTCCGCCAAAATGGCGCGCTTTGATTGGCTCACAAACATTTTTGCCCGTATCCACACTAAAACAAACAGCACACCAAATCACAGAAACTCTTATGATTTTCCATGTTGTATTTCGTATTTTTAGTTCATCATTTAAGGATTTTTAGTTCGCCATAATTAGGATAATCACTGAAACAGCTGAGTACAATTCATTTTTGGTAAGGAATTATACAAATGTACCGCACTTCTGTAGCTCAAAGTAGAACATTACTTCTCTTCTAGACTTGTGGATTATATTTTAAATAAGTAAATGGTTTGAACCCGGGAGTATCGTTACATGTTTGTAAATGTAGATCGTCTAGGTTGGTATAGTCCTGAGAAGGACTGTTTTTGTTGTTGTTGACTGACGTTTCGACAACCTTAGCAGTAGTCATCTTCAGAGTCAAATGATGAGTAAACGTCAGGTTAGCCGTATTTGTTATCTGGTTCTTACGTCATTGTATTGTTTGTACAGGAAATGTGTATCGTCATTGTGGATTAGTGTGAAGTGAAATATTTTTAGTAATGATGTGTGATTTAGAAGTGATGTTACACCTCTAATACAATGACGTAAGAACCAGATAACAAATACGGCTAACCTGACGTTTACTCCTCATTTGACTCTGAAGATGAGTTATTAAAAAAAGATTTAATATCTGAGTGATGCTTCACCAAAATTTTCTGCAGAATCCTTAGCGAACTTCATTAGAAATAAACTTTAATACTTTATAAAGTGTAGGCGAAATAACTTCATATAAAGGAATAAAACGTTTAAGGTCAAATGCATCTTGGGCAAATCATTGCATATTTCAATAACTAAAAAGTAAAAAAGTCTGTCATTTTCTGCTGAGCAAGAAAATTTTGTGATCTTTCAGAATAAAAAATGTCATGCTTGGATCAAATTGGAGGGCATAAACAACTCACTAGCATTAAATTGTTACAAATCTTGAACACAAATCTCTCAGGACCGAAACTGCATGATGACTATGATTCGAAATTTTGAGCAGAGTCTTGTCCAACTATTTGATAACACTGATGCCATGATAACATTACTGCTTTCCACCAAGCTTAAAGATTTTGAAAACTTGTTACAGAGTTGGAACATAAGCCGAGAAAATACGTTCACGTACGAAAAATACTTCTTACAATGGGTCACGATCAATTCGAAGCACGAACTAGTAAACCGCAAACGAAGCTCAAACCAATGAAATTAAATCAGGTCTGCCACAAATCGTTAAAAAAACGCAAAAAGCTTGCTATTATTCGTAATATATTAGATACTACCATGGAATAAACTTAAATTGCTTTCCTCTTTTGTATATAAACCCAATTTCCAATAGTATTATTATAGTTTCACTTTGCAAGTAGGAGCCAAAATGGCCATTCCACGCATGCCCAGACCGTTTGTCTTAACTCTTACAAATAGAGGGCCTGTCTGTAACCGGTTATCAAAATCATGGCGGCGAATAGGAAACTTTGATGAAAAACTTCCACTTAAAAAAACTATTTTTATTATTGACTCCCCTCTGATTTCACCACAATCATTAAATCAGTGCAAATTGCAAAGTGCTAAACAAATGCACACAAGCAAACACAATAATAAGGCAAAAGAGAATGAATTTTTTTATTTAAATAATTGTTTTCATGTATGGAAATGAATTGAACAAACACGCAGTTATGCGAAGAAAGTGTACAATAAAGAAACTTTGATTATTTTTACATCGCAATATGAAATGTCGTCATGTTTGCGATTTACTCATATAAATATATTTACACTGTAATTATTCAAAACTGGCGAACATTTTACTGAAAATATCAAAATTTTATATGAAAGTCTCTTTAAGTAAATCTCTTCAAATAAGTATGAACTCTCTATAAGTAAACTACACATTTTAATAAAATACTTCGTCCAACTATCTTTCTCTATTGAATAGATGGAATAGTAAAAATAAATGTAGATTAATTAAATGTTGAGTTCATTTTGTCTGGTGTCATTATCATAACAGGATGTTCCTAAAGCAATTGTACTGAGTGCATTTGAACAAAATATATTTAATTTGGCAATTAGTGATAAAAGAAATATAATCTATTTAATTATTTTACAAAAACATTACGAAGCATGTTAATTTTAACATAAAACAAACAAACAGTTATAACAACATTCATTAGACTAGCTAGCACAAAAAATAATTAAATTAATTTATTTGCAAAATTACAATTCTTAAAGTGAAAATCAAATTATGTATTAAATGCATTTCTATAATGGCAGACATCTTGAACATGACGTCTCACATATATAAAATTTGATCCTTGAAAAATATTTTAACAATAGAGAGCCAGTAAAGAATTGCTAGAGTTGCATGAATGTCAATGCACACACAATTCTTTGGTAATATGGATGCTAAAAACAAGATTCAGTTTAGCAAAAAAAATCGTAACCTACTTGCTGTAGTGCAATTTGGCAATCTGTGTTTTTTGTGGCCATATTGGCCACATTTGTTACATTTGCCTGTAGAGAAATGAAAATTTTGGAATTCTTAAGATAAAAAAGTGGATGAATTACTACTTTCTATAGCATACTACATACCTATGAATATTTTGCTTTTCTCTGTAAATTATTACATGGAATATCCAGTAGTACCATGAAAATATTTTGTACAAAGTGTCAAATTATATCTTTGGTATTTTCACTTGGCTGTGTAATACTTCCTTGTTGCTTTTTACTACCTGCAGTTGGAAACTACCCTTAACTGCTGTTAACAACTTCGACTTTATTTACCTATTCAGAAAGCAAAACTTATCATGCATTATAACCTTTTTTCTCCATTATCTGTTCTCCATCCTCTTCTAAATCAATACAATTCCAAAAAATTATATTTCTTATAAATAAACATGTTTAAGAGATAAAATCCAACATACTGTTTTCCTCTTGCAACAAGGAATCTGAATTTTACGAAATGAAATTTGTCTGTTAATCATGAAAAGAAAAAATAAACAAAAATCGAATCAAATAATTCACATACCACTTTCTTTAGCGTTCATGTCATCCACTGCTGCAAGTGTATTAAATACATAAACATACACTTTAAATTATAAACTCAACTCATTTATGAAACATACCCATTGTTTCTTTATTGTTGTTTCTCTCAGCCACTATGCATAAAGATTCGAAATAGCTTTCACATTTTGAAAGCAGAAATAAATTTGATCACTTATGACAAAGATACAGCTTTGCCTTAGTATTTACAACAATGCTTACTTCTCTTTCTTTAAAAAAAACTATCTTTCGGTTTCTGAATGAGAAAAAAATCGTCGTTAATAAGAGCATGTTTTTAAATACTGGTATAATCTCTGTTAAAATTTCCAAGTCAAAAAGGCATTATAAAGTAAAACCAGACGATAAAAAGTCATTAAAAAATATACTTACCACAAAAACGTATACGTGATATGTCAAAATGTATGCATAACAGCGATCACTTTAAATTTTCCAGGATTGTACCAAGATTTTATCAAGTGCGAATTGTTCTTCGATGAGGCAATGTTTAATTAAACTTCTCATGCACATAATCATATGCTTTTCTAGAATAAAACTTCAAAGGAATTGCAAATGACCTTAGCTCAGCTGTATACACAGCAAATTTTTTACCCTGGTTTTGAGA